CCTTAGCCCGGTGAGCTATAGGCGCCGAGCCTCCCTGGAAGATTATTAACATTACAGTGACATTAGTGTTGAGCACCTATAAAGAAGGGCAAAGAATCACTGTAGGAAATTCTTTTACCTGAGCATTCTGTAGAATATTGTTGACCAGGACAACACGTCGCCGGGCATTAAGAAGCTTTTTAACATAGGGGTCGAGATCCAGGGCCACTTTCTGATCCTCATTGATACGGCACAGTTCTGGGAATGGAAGTAAGGTGCAGCTAAGGTGATGGCTCATCTCTAATTCTCAGGGTAAACAGGCTGCTAACGGGATGGAAAACACTCCTGCACTCACATGGGCCACAGCCACTCCACACTTAAAACATGCCTGAAAGGGGTCCTTCAGCAGCCCTGATGTCCTGGCAGCAAGTGACAGAAACCCAGCCCAGAGGATGGCAAAAGATAAAAGCCCTAAAAATTGAGGCGGAGAATTCCCGGTGCACTAGGCGTCGGCTTACCAGTGGCTAGGTTGTCAATTTGCTCCCGGAGCTCAACCTGGCTCTCTCTGCAAAGAGGTACAAGGCCTACTCGGTCAGCAGTTAACGGAGCTCACGAAACTAACTCCCTGCGCCCTTCCCGAGCGCTGCGAGAAGCCAGCTCAGCTCACCCCTCATTGCGGCCCGGCGGATTCGTTAGCCCGCAGTCCCTCCCTGGTCCCTGCTCCCAGCTTCCTGCTCGCTCACCTGACGGCGTGGACGTGAGAGTCGAGCTGCTGCACAGCCGGTCGCAAGAACTCCAGGAGTCCTTCGGCGAAGAGGTCGCGGCCCGTCGGTCCCGCCACCGGGGTCCCTGCTCCGGACACAGAGGCGGAACCGGCCCAAGCCATCACGCACTGTCCTGACGCCCGGAACCTGCCGCGAGGGCCTCTGGGAACGGGCCTCGAAGACGCGCGCCGCGAGGGGGCGCCCAGGAGGAGCCGCCGGGCCTTCTGGGAAATGGAGTTTCCTGCGCGGGCGGGGCGGGCGGGGCGGGCGGGGCGGCTCCCTGGACCCGGGATTCCCGGAGTCTGTAGGGCTGAGGCAGGATCGAAATCGCCAGACTTTGGCAGCGGGGCGGTGGGAAGAAGCACTGTATTTTGGACTGGATCCTTTTTGTTTTCTGCAAAGGTGAAAATAAATGCTGATATTCTCAGAGATCCATAGCCTTGCTATGTTAACTGTGTGAGAAAACCAGATTGTATTCATGGTATAGTTTTATATTTCTAGAAAGTATATATATACATATATTTAGTTTGTCTGTTTTGCTTTTTGAGACAGAGTCTCACTTTGTTGCCCTCGGTTGAGTGCTGTGGAGTCACAGCTCACAGCAACCTCAAACTCCTGGGCTCAAGCGATTCTCTTGCCTCAGCCTCCAGAGTAGCTGAGACTACAGGTGCGGCCACAACGCCGGGCTATTTTGTAGAGACGGGGTCTTGCTCTTGCTTTGGCTGGTCTCAAACCTGTGAACTCCGGGCAATCTTCCTGCCTCGGCCTCTCAATGCTAGGATTACAGGTGTGAGCCACCCCACCCGGCCAGAAAAGACTTTTTAGTTCAGTCTCCAGAGAGTTAACATCTGTCCCTTAAGCTCTACTGTGTTCCAATGGCTTAAGATTCCCATAGGCCTTGGAGGGGATGATGTGTGTGCAGAAATGCTCCTGGAGGACAGGTAAAGGGATACATAGAGATAAGTGGGCCTTGACCTTGGTCTTCAGTGCTAAAGGAGGATAAAGCATTTGAGTCCCTACAGGAGAGAGGTAATTGAAGGCTATAAGCCTGAGATGCCCAACTGTGATAAGTTTTTAAAGCCTTATACACTTTCTTTTTTTTTTTTTT